TGTAGCCCGGATGGTTACAACAATATTCGAAACGAATAAGCAGCAAAGGCAAAAGAAAATAACGTATGAATTGTAACACCATCCCTAGATATTAGCAATCTACCTGGACAGACATATTCACGACGAAAATGCGAAAATGTAAAATAAAGAAATTATATTCTCCCATAAGCTTTATCCATAAAAGACAATAATTATGATAATTTCAACGGCAATTTTGAGACTCAGCTCCTTATCGATAAAAGGCGGTGAATAACTCACTAGGAGTAGACTTGAAAAATTAGAATAAATCAAAATTACGATAGATAAGAGAATTATAATAATCTATGGCAATAAAAAGAAATCTCAAACAGGTAACAGAATGATGGATGAGACTCTCACTCAACATTATAAAATGTGCAACAACTAAGTCCGAAATGATGTCTAAAATTGGACATACCTTGGAGCGTTACATGTCCCAACCATACGTGTGTTTCAAACATCTTTAAAACAACTAGATTGTTAAAAAAAGAAGAAAATGATGCTTTTCAGCATAAGGAATGGTAGCACTCCTCAGCATACCGCTAACTTTCGTGCGGTAAATAATTTCCTCTGGAAATAAATTCCAAATATCCAACTGATTATCTAAATTGGTAATTCCGGATGGCAACGATTCCAATATATGACGAAACGAGAGACTTTTTAAGTCTTGAACAATAAGCAATTCAGCTTGTTTTTTACGAACATTTCTGATAAAACAACACACAAATGCCTTTACTGGGCGTAAACGAGAAAGATAGGAGCACATTTTAAACATATTTACCCCGAAAGCTAAATCTAGAGGTGGGTTAAAACCACTCTAGAGACTTTGGACCCAATTATAGCCACAATATTTAACCTATTAGATTCTTTAAAATTGTTTCTGTCACAAGACGGCAATAATTTTCGCTCACAATGCCAAGATTTCGATGGAGCAAGTGTATCGGGGTTAGCTCCCCGCGAAGCTGTACAGGCAGCGTCACCATCAGATACCCTATCATGGATATCATGTGAAGAAAAGTCCTTGGACAAGGATTGAATATTAGAATGAACTTAAGGCTCAGAGAGATGTACATCATTAAAGTATAGCCCTGTAGACGAACTCACGCCTTTATCAGCGTCACGAGTCTTGTAGGACTCATTATCCTTTACCACTGATACACGTGGAAGAAAATATGTAATACTGTTGTCATTAGGTAACTCCTTAGGGACAGTATCTACATGAGCTAAAGTCGATGATAGCTGACCTGACGAACTAGGCACCATCACACGAGGTATTTGAGACGTGGATGTCTCGAAAGAAGGTTGAGGTTGTGAAAAAGATGAGTCTTTTGACATATTACTTTGAGTAGAATTCACTACATTGAGTAGATAGCATAAATCTGAAATAAGTGTGGGAGGTATTGCCCCACATGTAACCTAGAAGAACAATGGGATGCACTACCTACTTTATAATACGTAAAGGATGAGAGGACGGGCTTCCGTATTATAAGTCCCATTGCCTTACAAAACAAATCATCTACAATGTTTCGATCCTCGCTATCTTCAGCGGAATCTACCAATAAGTTCTCGATTGCATCCTGTGCGCATTCATATTTATCATACTCAACCTGTAAATACTTACGACGAACTTTCAAAAGATAATCAATATCGACCAATGAAACATTTTCTGCAATCCAATTGCAGTGACGAATTATTGCATTATTTGCAGACTTTATAATTTATTATTATTATATAATATTATTATATTATTTCCCCATTAATATTATTTCCCGTGATTGACTTATTTTTGATATTTCTTCGTGAAGCTGAATTGTTAGTTTATATCAGTGAAGACACATATTTACTTTTAATTAAGCTTTCACTTATGGCTTCCCAGGTTGTTATAAACTTTCTTAGTCTTTTGTGAATCATTATAGAAATTCCCTGTTGAGCTCTACATTCTTTTGGTACTCCACTATAGAAATGGTCATATTTTCTTTAGATTTTCAGAGCTGGTTCACTTCTTTTTTGTTTCGGTAATGACTGCTATGTCTATTTTTAGTTCTGTTAATTGGGTTTGTTAACATTTTTATATTTTTTACAACTACTGGGCAGTTAGCCCAATGCCTTAACCCCCAACCTCCCAGGGGTTTGGGTTCAAAGTCTCCCTGTCCTAGACGGATTGCGGGATTTACCGCTAACGGGTTCCGTTCACCCTTTTTAATTTTATACGAACCCTAAAATCAGGGGTCGCCACTTCCGCCATGCAAACCGTACTGAAGATGTTCTTCTCCCCTGTGGATACCGTTGTGGTCTTCATCCGTGATCCTGGACAAGTGACCCTAAGGGACCGGGTCAGGAAACTCCTGGAATCTGCGAAGGGCAGGGATTGATTCACTTTCCCTGGTAGGACTGTCCAAAGGAGTTCCTACCCGCTACCCGAGCAGCGGAGCAGAAAACACTGAGCAGCAAATATATAATACTTACAAGACAAAGAAGAAAAATATTGCGAATGTGTGTCAATTTTTCTACAGGGTCGACTATTCATATAACATCAAGCTCCCAGAGTTTCGTTACAGTACAATGATCAACAAACAACGAAAATGTAATCATACTTGTACTAAAATTAGAAGCAACTGCCAACATCTTGCGCATAAGAGTTGAACCTAACAAAGTTTCGACTGCTACAAGACCATACTGTAACTGATATTTCTTCCCTATGTACAATTTGCCTACAATATCTGCTCCACACAAAATTTCAATTGGTGATGTCTGTTCGATATCGCTGAGTGTAATATTTATGTTACTGAGCTCCTCAATCCATCGGTCGTCATAATCAATTTTATAGATAGGCAAATTAGGACACATCAAAACAGCATGTGAATTACAACATAATATACAGTTCAAACGTCCTCTACAATTTTTAGAAGAATGTCCTACTTTCAGACATCGGAAACATGCTTTCTTTTCTAACAATGTTCGTTGTTTCTGTTCCATATTAAATTTTTGTGCTTTGAAACAATTTGTACTGTCATGCTGTCCTTCACAAAAAATACACCTGTAAACCTCATAATTTATTAACCCAGCAGTGGTAGCTAAGGGCTGATTAGTTCCTTGCTTAGGTAATTTTACATTTTTCTTGGCAACAAAGCTATTGATTTATATTTATTTTTAGTCGGTAAACCAAAACCTTCCGTTACTTAATCAAATTTTTGTTAATTTTAAACTTCACTCTTAACCCACTCAATCTTGTTTCTAAAGTTGTAACTGCTGCAGTTTCTTCGCTATTTTTCATGGACACGGGAAACATAAGGACTTAAAAACTGAAAATCTATGCTATAGTCGAACCATACCTTCTGATAAACATGACTTAATAAGAGGATACAATACCGCTACATACTTATCAGCAGTTATGCTTAAGGTCTCAAGTGAACGAATCAATCATAGCATAAAGTGCAAAAATGTTACAAGATCACGATGCACTACTTTGAACTGAGACCAAAAGAAAGCCAATATTTCAAGTCTCCATTAAATTTCTTGAACTTGATTGGAGATAATTTAAATTTGCACCTTTTACACTTGATGACTCTGAACTTACTGAACCTGTTCTGTTATCACATTTGTACTTAAGTTCAAAGTACCTTGCACTGTATTTATCCTTTGCCTGTATCTTACATTTTCGGAAGCTTCTTCGAATTTACTTCCAAGTATAGCACTTTCCACTTCACAAAGCTCATTGTACTTTACTTGTGAAAGTTCCCACTGTACGCTAATTTTCTGTCAGGGTTGTGTATTTACCGGTTCAGCTAACAAAACATTAGCAACTTTCGTAAATGCAATACGATACATCGTTCTGCGTTTTTTATCTGATTCCATTTTTTGCTTAAAAAGGTTAACTTCAGCTGAGCCTCACGACAAAAACAAAATTATTCGCCTGAAAAAGTCCTGTCACGGTCACCAAATGTTAGGTTTGGAACATTCCGCAGTCACTTTCCGCGAAGGATTGCTGGTTTGGAATACTACAAAGTTAAATTCCAAGTACAACAAAATTACTCTCATATTAAAATACACAAGTGTGGCTTTAAAGTTTTATTTCAATACAGTTTGCTTTGGTGGTACAAATTCGACTGTTTATATATACGTAACCTTAATATTAATATTATGGTACTCCCTACATTCTCCGACGAAAAAGTCGTAAAATTTAATTACGTCAATCAGCCCTCGGCTAGAGAGACGATGCGTTGATTAGGGATTTTTTTAAGTAAACATATTAGGTAGTTATTGACTCGACATCTGCCATCAACATTCTTTCTGGTACGTAGTTTACGCTATAAATGTTCTTGGTTCATTTTTCGTGTACTTATGTGCGTATGTGCCAAGGTTTTCTATTGCCCTGTCGTTCTTAGGAACTCCGCTTACACTAGAAGATTTTTGTTGGTTCTATGAAAAGTTCCTCTTCTCGCAGGTTACTGGTTTACCAAGAGTCCGTCCTCCTTTATCCTGGCTTGAGACAGACTGAGTTGTAATTAGAGTGGAATGCTTATTTTGCAGCTTGGAATTATGCAGTCGTATGAACTGCTGAACTTGACTACATACATTTCGTACTCGTGGGAAATAAAAACCATTGGATATACTTGATTCACTGAGCTTGGAAATATTTTAACAATCATTGTCGGAAATATACAATATATCAATTCTTACAAATTATTCTATTAATAGTTAAAATAAACTTACTGTTAGAAACTTCTTTAATTGAAACAAGAATAATGGAAATGTATATTCATTAATGTACATTAAAATCTTTCAATTTTTAAATAATAATAAACAAAAGACCATATAATTTCAAAAATAAACCAGTTTGACCATATCCTTATCTACATATCAAATAAAAAAAATGTTGCTTTTTATTTTTTCTAATTACACACACTGCTGCTGAATACTTAGACAATGAGAAACCGTATTATGGGAACATACTTTTATAAACGTCATATCATCATCTGTCATTTCTCTAAAAATGACTTTGACATCTTGAAATTATATAACCAAAAAGTGGGTTTTTTAAGGGACATCCATATTTTTTCAGTAAGGTATTACGAGGATATCTGCTGAAATGGCTTCTAGAAGAATCACGAAAAGTGCTGTAAACTGGGCTGCTTTAAGCGAAAGAGTCCCTGAACATCAGCGTGCACAGTTTTTAGCGTTTAAAACTAAATCCGACGGCTATCTTAGGCGGTAAGGTCACCACGGTCTTTATATAACATTTTTATATTCTTAATATTCTTACAATATCGGAAAAACTAAAGAAAACGTTATGTTTATGTAATAGTAGAGATAATAAACTATTAAACAGGATTAGGACAGTTATAATTAAATCTTAAATTTAAATTTTCAGTGTATTAGCAAATCCTGAACAAGCCCCAGCTATTGATTGGGCTTACTACAAATCCAAAGTACCAGTTGCTGGAATGGTAGATGATTTCCAAAAGCAGTATGGAGCTTTATCTATTGCATTCCCTGCTGACACTGTCAAACCTCAACTGGATGCTTTAGAAAAAGAAATCAAAAGTGATATTGAAAAATTCAAAACTGAATCCAATGCTCGTATTTCTGAGTAAGTATCAAAATACATTTTAAATAGAAAACATAAAAATTAATGCTGATCACCCAATCAAATTCATTATACATTAATCACTAACTGAAGCCGAACTCATTGATATACATTTCAGGTTCATAGAAGTTGTACACTTTTAACACATTGGTACCAAATGTTTTCTTCTTATGTTCGCACAAAGTTATTATAATTCTTCTGTTGGTGCCAGTTCATTAAAAATGTTGGCAACCATCATGATTATTCTTTGTGCCTATTACCAGCAGCATGAAATCTTTGTATTTTTGGCTTAAGACCATATCGTCAGGTTCTTTAGCAAGGAGATTATTAGTTATTAATATTTAAATCATTGGTTATCCAGCATACTTATATTTTATTTACATTGTTTACATTTACACAACAATTTGACCTGAAAGTTCCCATAAAGATTTCTCTATTGACTGATTCACCAGGTAAAATAAAGATAAAAAATCCGCAAGGATGACATAACTGTTTAAGTTCAATAAAGCAAGGGATATTTCGTTGTCTTATGTGATAACAACCCATCAGTCCATCCATCAAGTCTATGCCACTCATGTAACTGTTATACTCATATTATTTGTGAATAAATGTACTGTGTACTTCTTTTCTTTACTATCATATCGTTATATTTTAGCTAGTTTCTAGCAAATAGTTCAATCCCAATGTATGTTGTATCTAGTCTCACATTTTTGTTATCTTTCCATTGTACCATATTCACATCAATACCATATGCAGTGCCCACATATTCTATGGAATCTCTTTTTTCTGTATCTTTTGTTTCTTATCAGTTGGCAGTTTACAATTTGAAATCCAATTGATTCTTATAGTACCAAGTGTATATATACCTCTTGTACAAAAATGTACATACTAATAAAGGTAATGAGGTGTAAAAATTGCCAAAGTACATTATATGATGGACCAAATTAGGTACTGTTGGAGACAATCATACAAATATGGTAGCTGTAGCACCAAGATCTGGTATACTAGGTAAAATGATTGTCACTATTTTATATTTCGAATCGGTAAGTGTAACTATGTGAATCACATAATACAAAGAGCTTTATTCCCCATGTATGTGGTATGTGCTACTGCACATTTGCTTGTCTTCGCATAAAGAAGCTATTTTCGGAATGCAATCAAATCTTTCATTTATTGTTTCAGCCAGTCTTCTAATACAAAAAAGCTTGTCATATCCAGGCTCACCTTTTCTTGCTTGTCGACTCTCATCCTTAAAACATAAATACCTTTTGATCAGTTCAAATTTCTGTAGGTTCATAGAGAGGTGGATTGGTAGAAATGCATTTTTCCCCATTAACTTTCCAGGTTTGGATACCTGTAGATCAACATGTACAGCAAAATACCGATATAATGATAGATGTCCTCAAAATTTGTTGTGAAATTGAGTTGGCAATAAAAACAGCTTAATTTGTTTCTTCAACAACCAAAGTCATAACTTCTTCATTGAAATAATATTTGAACTACTACATTGGCAATGACAAATGTGTCACATTGTTGGGCAAATTGTTGTTACCTCTAGAGAATAATTCATTTATATGTAATTTCTTGTTTTTTTCTTCATCATATATTCGAGAACTCTGTCGAATTCTTTTTTATTGCATCTAAACATGGAAGAAGAGAAAAAGAAAATGAAATGTCTACATAATTTCTTGATATTTTTTTATGATACCTAAACAGTAAATCCACCTACAGATGGTACAATTTGAGGCCCTGAAGACTGTATAACTGGTAATGGAGATCTTGTTCTTGGAACTTGGAGCTAAAATCTCTGCTTTATGTGGTGTTGGTTCCGGTATTGAAACTTCTGAACATTCTTCTTCAATATCACTAAAATTTACAGCTTCGACTAAAGTTTCACTGGACTCGCAGTATTCATTTCTTTGGTGCATTAGGAAATACACTGCTCATTTTCTTCTTCAGACATACCTGAAAAATTATACTTTTCTTTTGTCTTTCAAATTCATTGTACTCAGACAATTTTTTCTAATGAAAAAACGTTGTGGTAGCTGTCCTTCAATTTTTTCTTCTTTTTATCTTTTTTGAAACCAAAAACAATAAATTTAGGAGATAAACAATTCAAAATTCATAAATAACAATATTGAACTAAAAAATTTTTATTTAAACTCTTTTGTGTGACAATACAGTATAATAAATAAAGATAACAAACTACATATTGCTAAATAATTATGTTCGTAATATGGAGCAATAATGAATATGGGTCTACTCACTGCTTGTTTTTACTCTACTGGTAATAAATTTTGAATGACACATCTTACAATTTTCAAACGGGCTGCAATGTATTGCTTTGAAACATCCTAAAAGATGCCTAAACGCCTTGATCGACACAATGTGTTGCTTGTTAAATTGTATGAATTAATGGAATGTCATCCCCAGTGATGATTTACTGGTTAGAGGGTTAAGTTCAGTTTACCCATAACATAAATATTTTCATAAAAGTATATAATTCTAGTAAATCATGTATTTAAATAAAAAGCATAAATATCACTGTAGAGTTGGCACACATCACATGCACAATGTTGGATCGAAGTATGGCATCAGATCAGTAAATATTTTGTAAAGTATTCAATTGTTTTCATTTTCTCCTAATAAGTACCTAAATGAATGTGCGTTAATGATCAAATATGTAACATTTGACAGACAAGAAAAGACATAGAAAATATATTCACTACTGAAATATATGGCCATGGAGATTGGGCCAGAATAAATATATGAAAGATAATAAATATTAACATAGACAACATATAGAGGAAATAGAAATCAAATTAATGTAAAAATAATGGAGAAATTACTACAGCAATTCAACTAGAAGTACACATAAAAAAACCAACAACACAAGACAAGAACAAGGTGAAACAGTAACCAAATTAGAATAGTTGATAATGTTGCACAATGAAGAACTTCACATATCTAAAGGTTGAATTAAATATAGAAGGAACAAAGGAAGAATAAATTAAAAAAAGAATAAGGAGTGGCAAAAAGGTATATTTCTTGTTGACTCACATATTTCTGTTAAAAACTGTTTATGAGGAATAGAATATTAAGATGTATAATGCAATCATTAAATCAACAGAGAAAATTAGGAGTTTTTGAAGGAACAATTCAAAGACAAACAAGATCGTTTTTTGGATCATTTAACGAAAATGAAATATAGAGATCCATGATCGTGATCATAAAATGTAGAGCCAAAAAAGCTAACGAATTGTAAGGAAGCTGAAGTGAATCAGCAATGTTGATGCAAACATTGGAGTACAACTCTTATTATCAGTAGAATTTGGATTTATTTCTTTTTAGAAATATTTGCTATTTTGCATTATTTGTGCCCTCAAATGATTATTTATATTTATTAAGTTTACCAACAATAAATACATTTTCTATGTTTGTTTGTATACAACAAATAAAGTTGATTTATTAAAATTTTAGGTACAAAAAGCAATTGGCCCACATCGCCAGTCTAATTCCATATGATCAGATGACATTGGAAGATTACCGCGATGCTTACCCAGAAGATGCTATTGACCCCATCAACAAGCCTACATTCTGGCCACACACTCCTGAGGAACAACACGACTATGTTGACAAAGATGCCCAGCCCAGCCACCATTAATACTATAAAGTTGGTGATGCTTTCAAATGCAGTGATTTGAATAACACATTCGAGAATGAAAAGTTTGTGAAACTATAGTGTTTGTTTCCTGCATTTGAAAGTATTTTTACTTGTCATATACTAAGTTCTATAGTTGTGTCTACTACATTTTTGATTAGAAAATTTTTTTGGTTATTAGAATAAACTTAAATACCCACAATTTTCTTTTTTATTTTTATATATAATTATAAAGGCAGAAGAAATAAAGAACAATGAGAATATGATACTAAATTAATCAAGAAATAAAATATTTTATATATAAAATAAAATATTTAAAAGCTCATGACTCAGAAAGAGGAAAGAATAAATGATCTCAATGTTGTATTTGCTTAGAAACTAGGGATAGCAAACAAAATTTGCAGCGATATATTGTATCATATGATATATTGTATCAAGATATTGATATATGACATATTAGAAAAAGGTAACCACTATATTCTTGTGTGACTAAATAACATAATAAATAAAAGGTTGAGGTTTTCTTCAAAATTTAAAAGTAAAGATGCATTTACATATAAAATCCCTTTAATATTAAAGGTACTTTATGATGTTGTTAAAACTTTGGAGCAAAAATTGCAGCAGGAGCAAGATTATTAATTTGGAACCAAGCATTGCTTTTGGGTGGTGCCATTTTTCTTTCTAGTTTTATTAAATACAAATCAATATTCACAACCTGCAGAAATACCTAATACTAAACAAATAAAGATAAGAAGGGAAACTCAATATTTATTATAAACACATATAATATGATTGATGGATTTGACCGTTACTTGATGGAAATTCATTTTATGTAACAATAAAACACTGAAAACTTTGTTTTCAAAACTTCCACAAAATTTATTATAAAATCTTATCACTACTTCTGTTTCGGCTGATTGCCTCTCTCAAGTTAATCTATTTTTGGCATGCGTTTACAGTTTATAGTTTTTAACGAAATAGTTTGAGGAGGGGAGAACTGTTTGTCTCAAGTTGGTAATTCAGAATTATGTTTTTTAATTTCCATAGATTCTAATAAAGATAGCATAAGGTCTTTATTTTGAATGTGAAGTGCGTATGTAGAATTTGTTTTTCTATTATTGATATTATGATCTAGAAGGTGAAGTGCGTATGTAGAATTTGTTTTTCTATTATTGAAAGCCCTTTTATGTTCTGCTATTCGTTTATTAAAATTTCTACCAGTTTGATCGATGTAAGTTTTTGGTCAATCAATATTGGAATGTGCGGCTTCTTCTTCTTGTAGTGCCTATCCATTTCGAATGTTGGCGACCATCATGGCAATCTGTATTGCCATGATGGTCTCAATCAATTTGCTGTTTCTTAGAGATCATGATACATTTTGTTTTCTTAATATTCAGTGAAAGCTTATATCTCTGACTCACTTCTGTGATTCTATTCATTAATTCCTGGAGGGCTTCATGACTGTCAGCGAATAGAATACCACCGTTTCATCCGCCTATCTGATGTGTGGAGGTTCCCCATAATTCTAGTATATAATTTCATTAATATTTTATTTTCAGTTGAAAGTTTTGATTTTCTACCTAAGGACCCAGTTGTTTTCGCTTAGTAAATATATGCTTCCTGCAGTTTAATGTTCTGTTCAACTACATACCTAGATATTTGACTTTATCACCTTGTGGGATTCCTTTACCGTTTAAGGTTACAGTTGGACATGTTTCCCTACGCTTGGTAAATATTAGGTATAGTGACTTGTTTTCAATTAATTTGACTCTCCATTTTGTCATCCAGTGTTGTATTTTATTTAAGTTATTTTGTAGGATTTCTGGGGATATAAGTCCTAAGACGCTTCCTTGTTGCACCCCAGCGAAAATTTGTTGTATTCTTGTGTATTCATTCTCATATTTTACCTAGAAGTTTCTATTGGTGATAAAGGATTAAAAATGAATTCGAAATTTGCTGGTAAATTCTGTTTTAACCTATTACCTATTATTTTCAAAGTCTTCATTGATTCTCTCTACAACTCTATGTACTGTTGAATCTTGTTTTATGAACCCAAATTGGTGTGATGGTATTGGTTTTTTGTTTTCTAGTAAGTGCCAGCCTTTCAAAAACTTTGGAAATTACTGAAAAAAGATAAATAGCACGGAGGACTGTACATGTTCTGGTTCTTTTCCTGGCATTAGTAATATTGTTATCTGTGCTAATTTTCATTGTGATGGGAAATGACCTAATTTCATATAGTTAAATAACTGTCGGAAATTGGTAGCCTGTATCTAAGAGTAGCTGCAAAGTTTTTCCAGTAATAAGATCATATCCTGGGACCTTTTTTGGAACGATGCTGTGTTGTGTAATATTTTTACTTCATTGTTTGTGAGTCTTTTTTTCAGGAAGTTCTAGTTGATAAGGTTTTGCGACTACTGAAATAATCTATTCTTCTGTTTGTTTGTAGTGAGTATTTTCCGTCATTTGGCGTAAACACTTTTTGAAGGTGTGTCGCAAATGTTTCGGCTTTTTCTATTGGACTCTTCACCCATTCTCCTGTTTCTGTTCTTAGTGGTGGGATTGTGTAGTTCGTAGTTCTGCCTTCGTAAGGTCTGTATAGCCTTCTATAACGAGTAATCCGTGGCTTGGATTATATATAGTTTTTGTAAGCATTCCTGAAAAGTTTTTCTGTCATTATCAGTTTTTTAGTTCTTATGTTACTTTCTTGAGGTCTGTTTAACTCTGAGGTGATTTTGTTATTTTTGCTATTGTTTTCTAAGCCTTATTTTCTGCATTATTTTTTCGTATATTGTATACAAACAGTATTTATTCGTATATAGGTTTATAGGTAATGTTATTGAGTTCCATGCTGCTTCATGTACAACTGTTAAAATTTTATATTGCGTGTTAGATATGTTTATCTGTCTTTAGTGTGATGTGTAAATTGATTCGATTGTTTACTTGATATCTAAAATAACTCAAATTTCTTGTATTGTTGTGTAATAGGCAGATTTTTCTGTTGTTGATATGTTTTTACTTACGGTTATGCTAACCGGTAAATGGTCAGAGGATAAATCAAAACAAGATTTTTGGTAAAGTATTTTTTGTTTGTTTCTTTTACTACTGCACAATCTGGAAGAGAACATCTGGTCTTTTTACAAGATCTGCTGGCCAGTAGGTATGTTGGCTCTCTTGTGAATACTATGTTTAGGTTATCTATTAGTATTTCGTTTTGCAGTTCACGGCCTTTGGTATTATAAAGTTTAATGCCCCACATTAGATGTTTTGAATTGTAGTCTCACCACAATTTTTTTAAGCCTTTGTCTCTATTCGGATTGCCGAATATAGATATATATCTCACAATTCTCGCCATTCGTCTCTGTTGTTTGTAAGACGTTTCCACATTGGCCCTGCAGTTTTTTAATGTCGTTGCTCCAGCGCATTTGCGGTCTTCCTCGTGGTCTTTTGGCTTCATATGGCCGCTTTCTTTATTCCATCGGCCATTCATAAAGATGTTCGTTATGTCTACCCCATTTCTATTTCAGTTTAGCTGCCTGTTCGACAGTATCGTTTACTTTTGTTCTATTACGAATATCTTCATTGGTTTTATGGACTTTGAGTGAGATACCCAGCATTTGTCGTTCCATAGCTCTCTGAGTTTTTCTGATCGTTTCCCTCATAACCCTAATAGCACATGTACTTCCAGTGGACGTCCATAGTACGTCCCTCGCGGACTTTAGGGACGTCCCTCGAACGTCCGCTTTGGTCCTATTTACGTCCTATATTGGTCCGAATGTCGCTGCGCCAAACGTCCTATGGACGTCCATTTTACGTCCCGAGCGGACGTAAAACGGACGTACCGGGACGTTAATCGGACGTCCATAATACGTCCAGAGGACTTACTTGACGGACTTTTGTGATGATTTCGGAGATCTATTTTAGCGCTGAGGATGTAAATTAGATGTCAACGCCATTGTATAAAGTACTAAAAGTGGTGTCATCCTGTGCATATTAAGAATGTATTTTGGGAAATAAAACGTAAATGTTTAAAGAAACTTACATTTATTATTACATTTATTTATATTTATTTATTATTAACAAACGGGACAAATTCATTGTCAAAATTATGCAAAAATGCAACATTATAGAAATATAAAATAATTTTGTGTAATAAAACATAAATGTTTAAAGGAACATTTATTATTACATATATTTATTTAATAACAAATGGAACAAATTCACTGTCAAAATTATACAAAAATGCAACATTATAGAAATATAGACAAAATTACAGATACAATAAAATATACATGAATAAAATAAATAAGTACACATTTATAATAAATTTCATTTAGCATTTAAGTGCTTCAAATAGTACCTAAAGCTATTGATATGAAAGTTTTAGACCATCTCTATGTGTGAAACATAATTAGTTCTGTGGTAAGGAACATGGAAATGTAAATTCTGACACAGTGAATGGGAAGGAATATGAAAACAAACTAGCTGAAGCAATTCAGTAGATCGGTTATTTTATAAACAAGTTGAAAAATAAAGATTAAAAGGTAACACTTTTGATAAGAGAATCCAGATTCAAGAAATTGATCATATCATAATAAAAATATGGTCTACACAATTTACAAGAACAGTTGATGCTTGTAGATGAGTCAGTATAAATCTAATCAACATAAAAATGGTTTTTAATGCAATTATAACATAATCAGTGTAAATTAGTTGAAGTTGAACGACTAGACAGTAAGTAAACCACACTGACCAGTATGAAGCTGATTCTTCAAATTTACTGTCAAAAAATCAGTCAGTAAAGCCTCGACAATTTTAGGAATAGCAGAAAGAATTATAATGGAACGATAATTAGGAATCAATGAGTCAAGGATAAAATCAATAAATAAATTGTGATGAAAAGTGACCCTCAGTCAGAGATTTATAAAAAATAAGCCATAGATGTTTACATAAAAAGAATGCACAATTACCTAAAAATAAGTTAAGATATTGTTACGAACATACATTTAGCGTGGATTACCTAACGGTCGCATCTCGAAGCACCGAGAGTTTCGGCGATATTTCGAGCGCTGTAAAATTCCACCCGTATAATAACGAATTGGAGGTGGGACTAGTCTCGAATATTCTCGAACATAATACTTTGGTATATATATGTAACGGAATTAGGAGTTAAGTTTAGTTGATAAGATAGTATCGAACTGT